ACTGCGGGGATCGTTTTATGAACTATATAGATGTCTAACCAATGTACTGTATACTTGAAACTAATTAAAATAAATAAATTTTTTAAAAAGTAAAAAAAAAGAGGAAGTATATTTTACACAAAGCAAGAAGTCAATAGGTACGCTGAGCTTCAAGGCTGTTGAATCAGCTCTCAGAACTGGTAGCAAGAACCTGGCTCGCCCTCTTTGCTCTGTTGTCCCTGGTGTCACATTAGAGAGATCCATGACCTGAGGAAGATGGCAGGTGGCATTGTAGCACTTGAGAACTCAGTATTCTGGAGTCAGGCTGCTTGGTATCTCTGGGCCTCAGCCTGTTTCCCTCCTCCTTGGCTAAGCCCTGCCCATCCCTTGAGGCTGACATTTGTCAGCGCAGGCCTCCTGCCCAAGCACCACTGACATTGGGCAGAATAGGGTTTCTCAGATGTGGTTGGGCGGCCCTCTGCATCAGTCCCCATACGGTGCTTCTGTAAAATGCAGGTCCTTGGACTCTCCCCAGAGAATGCCTGGAGTTCTGACTCCTGACAAGCCTCCTGGTGATGTTGCTGTGTGCCCAAGTTGGAGAACCTTTGCGTTGGGAGAAATCCGGACTCCTGGGGTCTCAGAACTCATTTCAGCTCCTTTCTGTGCCTGTTTGACCTCCAGCCCAGATGTAAAATGGGTATAAATTCTATTTGCCTGTGAAGCTAGGATAGGCTCACAGGTGTGAGAGAGCTTTATCAGAGATCAAAATCTGAGCCACCACTTCCGCTGTACCAACTTCATGGGAAAAGACATATAGTCCTCATCCCTCATCATCTTCTTTCCTCTTATCTGGCTTTGTGGTTCTTTATAGCACTTAGCACTACCTGGCATAACATTCTAGATTTGTCTGCATTAATTTCGTAAGGCCAGGGACTATGTTTTATTTACGACTGTCTCCCCAGCTCCTAGAACAGTGGCTAGCACACATTGCTGCTCAATAAAGATTTGTTGAATGACTGAATAAAAATAGTTGTTATGCAGAGCCTAGAACAAAGCCAGGACACTTACTAGGGATGGTTAATGTTTACTGAGCTCTCACTACATGCTGAGCATGGTTTTAAGTGCTTTACATGATCCTTGACACTTGATATCCATGCCCTTGTGTGGTTCCTTCCCACTCCGAGCTAGGCTGACCAGTGTAACTAATAGGTGAGTGTGAAAATGATGGAGTATGACTTTTAAGAGTAGGCTATAACATATATTGTGGCTTCTGTCTTGCTCCTCTGGATCGTCTGCTCTGGGTAATGCCAGCTGCTATGTGGCTAGGACACTCAAGTAGGCCTATGGAGAGGTACACGTGGTGAGGGACTTAGGCATGTTGCAGATAACCAGCACTAATCGGTCATATGAATGGTTTTTCTTGAAAATTGATCCTTCAGCCCCATCGAGCCATTGGATGACTGAAAACCCAGCTGAAATTTTAACTACAATTTCATGAGAGACCTTGAGCCAAATAATGTAAGAAGCTTCTCCTGAATTCTTAACCCATAGAAACTGTCATTTTAAGCTGCTAAGTTTTGGGGTAATTTCTTACATATTAATAAACAATAACTGATACAGATCCTCACAGCAACCCTATGGGGGAGGGACCATAATGATTACCATTGTACAGAAGGGAAAACTGAGGCCCAGAGAATGGGAATCTCTTGGCCATGGTCACACAGGTAGTGTAAACCCAGGTTTCAATGACTACAGTCTACCCACTGGGATGAAGGATGTCCAACGTGAATGCCAGCTCTTCCCTTGAAGGGCCAAGGCTAAGACCAGAACACTTGAAAGAATCTATCTGCCCCCAATACAAACTTGTGCAGATGACTTCAGGGCTGAAGAGAACATGAGCATTATAAACTGGCAGGGGCAATAGGAGAGAACAAGGCAACAAGAGTGAAAACCAGAAGAAACAGACACTCAGAGTTCAGATATCGACATTATCATCAGACATGGTTTATAAAACAAAAATGTCTACTGGGCTTAAATAAATAACAAGCTTGAAACTATCGCCAAAGTGTAAGAAATTATCAGCAAGTGACACGACAGATTTGAAAACCTAACAGAACGTCTATAATAAAAAATATCATAACCAAAATAAAAAATCAAAAGATGGGTTAAACAGCAAATTAGATGTGGCTAAAGAGGGAATTAGTGAGATAGAACTCAGACATCAATCACAGGTTCAAGAGACTCCATATATTTTCACCTGATAGTGAAAGTGCAAAAAACCAAAGACAAAGATAAAATCTTGAAAGCACTCAGAGGGGATAAAATAGATTACTTTCAAAAGAACAGCAGTACAACATGGATAAATCTCAAAAACATGCTAAACAAAAGAAGCCAGTCACAAAGGACCATGTATTTTAAGATCTAATTAATATAAAATGTCCAGAATAAGAAAATTTGTAGAGACGAAAAGCAGATTTGTGCTGGGAGTCAGAGAGTAGGAGATAAGGATGGCTGTTAATGGGCACAGGGTTTTTTTAGGAGTGATAAAAAAGTCCTAAATATAGATTGTGGTAACGGTTGTGCAACTCTGTAAATGTACTAAAAACCATTAAATAGTACACTTTAAATAGGTGGATTTTATGGTATATAAATTATATTTCAGTAAAGCTGTTTAAAAAGGAGCTGATAGGTGATGATGTCTCAACAGCAACTATGGAATCTAGAAGACAACGGAATTTTATCTTCAAGCTGCTGAAATACCAGTGAGGATTCTACACCCAGTGTAAATGTCTATCAAGAATGAGGTCTAAATAAAGACTTTCAAACAAAACCCAAGTAAGTTTATCACCAAAAGACTTCCTACAGGGAATTCTAAAACAGCAGTTCTCCAACTTGGCTTCTCATTACAAACACCAGATAGCATTAAAACTCTTAATGCCTGGGCACACTCCAGGGATTCTGAATCAATTGATCTGAGATGTGGTCTGGGCTTCAGGATTTTTAAAAGCTCCCCAAGTGATTCAAATGTACAGCCCAGGTTGAGAATTTCTGCTCCCCAAGTGATTCAAATGTACAGGTTGAGAATTTCTTTCTTAAGGGATGTATTTCAGGCAAAAAGAAAAGTGATCCCAGGTGAAAGTCTGAGATATAATTCTTTGGCACCTATATCATGTGTTAGGAACTGTTCTAGACACCAGGAACACAGCAGTGAGCAAAACAGACAAAAGTACCTTCACTCTAGAAGAAGGAAATACACCAAAAACAAAAACAAAAAACACAAGATAAATAAAAATACATTGTTAGATAGTAATACACGCTTTAGGGAGAAAAATGAAGCCAGGAAGGATGATATAATTTGCTGGATGTAGGTGTGTATGTGAAATTTCAGATAGAGTGGACAAGGAAGACTTTTGCGTAAAGACCACATTAAAGGGAGAGAGCAAGCCATGAAGACGTTTGGGTTATAGCAAGTGCAAAGACCCTGAGGTGAGAGTGTGTCTGCCTTGTTCCAGGACCCAGGAGGCCAGTGGGGCTTGAGTGGAGTGAGCCAGGGGGAGAGTAGTCAAAGGAGAGATGGCAGTTTACTTTGAGTGAGACGGTAGCTATAGGGAGTGTTTTGAGGAGTGACTAGTTTGATTTACATTCTAACAGGACCTTCTGGCAGCTAGGTAGAAAATGGACTGTAGGAGTCAAAAGGAGAAGCAAGGAAGAGCCCAGTGAGGTTGGTTCAGAACACCAAGGGAGAAATGATGGAGGAACAGTGGGATGGGGTGTGGAGTAGGTGAGAGGTGACAGATTCTGGATCTGTTCTGCAAGTGGAGCCCTAAGGATCTGCTGATCTATGGGATGAGGGGCGGGAGGAGAAAATAAGGGACGAGGAGGCTGGAGGATACAAAGAGCTTCCAGCCTGTCCCAGGCGAATGCAAACTTCGTCGGCGGCCCAATAAAAAGGAGGAGAGTGACCGCCAAGAGGCAGCGTCCAGCTGGCTAAGGGTGAGTTCTTGAGCCCGCCAGGCCTGGATTCAAATCCGACTATGGGGCCGCGGGCAAGTCATAAACGGAGTCTCCTTTTCCTCTGCAAACCTAGCTAAGAACGGGTCTGCCCACCGCTGTGTTCGCGGCGTGGCTGAGCTGGAGCTG